ATTGATGATTATGTCCATATTCTAATCTGATAATGCCTAATCTTTTTCACGCTAATCATTACAGAAGAAAAGGTGGCCTTTTAACAGCCATAGTAGCATAACGTATATACTTCATGCAGAAACCCAAATGGGTTATTTTTCTAAAGTACTTAAACTGATCTAGTTATCCGGATTGAAATTAGCCTGGATTAGTTCGAAATAGTGCAATGTGCAATGAGATCAGTTAATGGTTAAAAGTGGAAGCAGAGAGAATTGGTTAGTTGCATCAAGGCCAAAATTTTTCACCTTTATTGTACTAAACGTGTTAATGAGTTTTGTTCCCTGACTTCCCTGAACTAAAGTGTCTTTCGAAATTCTAATAATTCGTCTTAAATAATAGAATTCTTACTTTTCAAGGACTAAACGAGCATGTGAGATTTCTAACTGTAAGGTTTCGATAAAGGATTAAATTTGGTTGTTGGATTTCTAAGTCTCTATGAATGCTGTCGTAGTGATTTCAGTGAGTTCTATGCTCATGATCATGTGAAATTGTGACTTCCGACTGTTAGAATGTCTCAAATACCTCATCAACAGCACAAACTCCTGTATCATTCACTCCTGGTGTATTCTTAAGTGTGTTTCCAGTTCTGTTCACCTCTTGATAGTGTTAGTAACCACCATTAGGCAGTGTGTATTTTAAAGAGTGTTACATCAGTGTTGTTACCTATTTTTCGTGATAGGTGGGAGATAGTGTCATAGTTATCGAAGAATTATTTGCATTCCGGAATTCCTGTCTACTATGAACTTTATTGTTTTGTTTGACTTATGCGAAAACCTGTCTAAAAACACCGATAACGGTTTATACTGTAACTTTGAGAGCCTAAGACCAGCTTCTAATCATCTCAGAAATGCATATTAAAACAAGCATAGGAATCCAGATATCCTTTGTAAATGATAAAGTCATTTATTAAATCCCATTGACAGATAACAACAAAACTTTATATCAAGAATATGCTTACTAAAATGAGAAAAAAAAGAGTCAATCAATAACTGACGATACCACTCTTAGTGTAAATATGAGCTACAGAATAGGCAAGTGCATAGAGTTTACTCTCTGCGTTTCATTGGTAATCCTGCCACTATGTTCGATTCAATTCCGCATTCATTTCGACCTCTCAGTATTTTGAAATAACCTTTATCACCCCAATCATCATTCCATGAGTTGGCGCATAACCAGTATGGAATGTCCTTGTAAACACCCCAACCGAGTATACGTATAGCATGTCCACCCACATAGGAACCAGTTATATGTTTGTAGACACCAGATTTATAGTTGAAAAAATCGTCATAGACAAATAGAGCACCTTCAACAGGACCGTTTAAAAAAATTTCTTTCATAATTGAAATTTCGTCACCGGCCACGTTGTAAGATGACTTACCTGAAAAATGTGAAAAACATATAACAGATTACGGAAGGCGTTATTCCCACAATATGCAGAGTAATCTGAACACATAACTTTTACTGACATCATTAGCTACGCTTAATATTTAGAGAAAAAGTCATTCATCAAGTATTGATTTGTAGGGATTTTTGTTTGATTGGTTGAAAGATTTCATCATGAGCTGATGTCGATTAGAGAACCATCAGGGAGTACCTGACATCTGATTCATCCTAGTGTTTGGGACTCTCCCACAGCAGTATGCACCCACCACCAGGGTTCGAACCCATGACATACTGGTTACAAGAATAGATTGCTAGTAGAGCGTTAATCTGCTCGGTCCTGTTCCAATGGCCAGCCCATGAATTCCAACTTCTCACAATTTACGACATAACGTGTTTGAATGACTGACTGTTGAAGAAGGCACAAGCCTTTCACTACACATCTTCTCTGACTGAGCACTGAACTCCTTCGAGAATCTTAGAAATTGATTATTGAACAAAGAATACTCTTATCGATAACAACATCATCAGGTTCTACAGTTATATATACATAAAAGTGAAACAATTAGTGCTATTAACAATATTAATGCTGCTGAAATAACGTCGAATCAATCATATCAACAGATTACAGTTCAGTAGCATCAACATAAAATAAGCTGAATGTCAGAAAAATTAAGAAAGATAATATTACAAATTCATGAATTTCTAGTTTCTACTGAAGGTCGCCAGGGCAGTAGTAGGGGCTGGACTTGTTTCTTTTGCACACAAGGCACTGGTTGTTTCAGGCGAACCGAGATAGCCTCTGATGTTTGCAGTATGTGGTACATCTATGTTTTTGGGAATTTATTTGGCACCCAGTAGATGATAGAGAAGGATTCTTCCACGCTGGCTTTGTGGCCGGTTTGGACCAGATGGTTTAACATCGAACTGTCAATGGTTTTCACTACACCTTTACCTAGCCATACTGGGAGATGTTCTCGAGCACGAAAATTCAAGTTCCTAGAGCAACGGCTGATATAACTCGCTCCACAACAGCAGTTGAATTGGTAGGTACAATTGGAAGTGGCTAGCTAGTCTAGGTACTTCATCTTTCAGTCGAGGAATCACCACCAGTCGTGTGGAAAATAAGTTTTGTAATTCGACAGCATTAACGGTTCTTTGAACTGATTTTCTTAATTTCTTCGTAATTATTTCGCTTGGTATATCGCCCTTGAATTACAGTCATATGTGTGAAGGCTTTTTGTTTACGGATAGTGAGTAGTTCTTTTTCAGCTTTCCCAGTCATGTGTTTCCTGATGAAATTGGCTGGACAGCAATTTTCGATCCATTTGAAGTTTATAATCGATACGAAGGAAACTTAATATGAATATGACTCATGAGAATTTATTACTCATTATCACATTTACTTTGTAATATTGGTGTTCAATTTAGTACTACGATTTTACATATTATTATTATTATTATTTATTCCTTCAGGTTCCCAGTGGAACATAGCGGGCTTCAAACTAGAGGCTTAAAGTTTCGGTAGCAGTGTTTATTTTTACAGGATGTGGTTGCTAGCCCCATACCCAACCATTCTTCCTCTTTACCAGCTTTATTTCTGGCTCAGCGAGGTGAAGGAGTGCGTCGGCTGGGATTCGAACACCCGGACCATGTGCGTCGTCCGTGAGCGCCCTAACCGATGTGCCACCGACGCACATTTTACATATCACCACATACATATATTCGGGAATATAATCTGTTAGCAATCTAACTGCAAATAACTTTTGAAATTCTGATCTAAATGATTCAGTGTTACTCTTTCTAAGAAAAACCCACTAATGTTGTGAACAATAATCATTGTATCATTCATTATAATGGACATATTACTAACTGTAGAACCTGATGAAGAAGAAGAAGAAGTTATAGTTTGTCAACAGATGATGTATCGATCAAACAAACTGTGTAATACATTATTCATATTACTCACCGTAGAATTTATCGTTTTCATACTCTCTTTCATATCCATTCTGACAATAATGTTCACATTCAGGTGTGTCATATAACTGACCTCTACATGGTGGTTGTCTTCCTCTAGCTGAATGGTGACTACATTCTGGAAATGGATATGGCTGACATCCTGAATTTGACTCATTTGATCCACCAGTTACAATACCCTCATCTTTCCAGTAATCCCATGCCATTCCTGGTATGCCACCTTGACAACCTAAGCCACATCTTGTACAACAACTCAGTAAATTAACAGCACTCAGCTCCACTGATATATGATTGTGAGAATGAATGCAAATGCGATCACTCATTGCTTCGACAGCACCGAAAGCCTACACAATAATAATAATAGCAACATGCATGAGGTTGGTTTGTATTATAAATATACTCCATGCGTAAATGAGTAGGTTAAATAGTGGTTATTAAGGAAACAAATGGTTATATAATCACAATGATCAATGAATATACAATCCGAGTGACACGTAACCCTCCATAATGACTTCAATATCACTTCGAACTTTCTAGTTGTACAACATAAAGCTATACTCTGCCTTCGGAAAGTCGATTGACACCGAAGTAAATTTGATTAAGAATAAATAACAAATTGAGAAACCCAAGAGAAATTTGAGAGTTAATATATGTCTAAAACTTGGGCACTGTGATAGTAAGTAATTCCATATTGGCTTGTTTATGAGATGTATCACACAGTGAAACAGTATTATTGTTCACTGGATGACGTTGCGAACACAATCTATTATTGTTCATAATCATATCATCAATTATAACACACACAACTTCGAAACTTGACTTTTGTAGTTCTCTTTGTTCTCTCCTATTTGTCGTCTTTGGGGTAGTAGAATTTTCCAGATATCCGACTGGACAGGTGTTGAATCATCCCTATTCTATGTGTTTGCAGTTGATTCGATAACCAAACACCGTTAAGAATAAGGTTGAGAAATCCACAACGGACCTCATACGTTGAATGAAGCCGTTTCCAGGTGAGTCTAAATGGTTTAATTTAATGACCAAAACTAATAACCCCAGTAGGATGTATGGTGTTGTTAAAGTTCATAAGTCAGGATATCCTATTAAACCTATGGTTGATTTTAGGAATTCGCCCAATTATGAATTATCTAAGTATTTAGCCATGATATTAAATGCCCTTAAAAGCCACTCAAAATCTAGACTAACAAATTCTTATGAACTAAAACATAGATTAGATAATTTAGAATTAGATAATGAAGAGAAAATGGTCAGTTTATATGCACGTATACCAATAAATATGGCTATAGAGAATGTCAGAAACGAGTTAGTTTCAAACGAAGAACTCGCACTAAGAACGAAAGTACCACTTGAGGACATCATGCTAGGAGTGCAGCTATACTTGACTCTCACAGTATTTCGATTCCAGGGAAAAATATACAAACAAACTGAGCGAGTTGCATTACAGACACATTTTAGTGTTTTCCTGCATTTAATAAGTGTGAGTATTAAATAATTATTCATTTACAATGATGAATTTTTTTTATAATTATCTGTTAGTCACACAAAAAACACAGCCAAACAAATTCTATCATTCAATGTGTTCAATATTCAAAGTTCAATTTTAAAAAAGGCATCAAAAGTTATATATATATACATATTGATAATCACTTATTTTTGATTATCTTAATGATGATTTCAATTAGTATTATTGCAATATCCATCTTGGTTATAGTCAAATCTTATGAAATAAATGAAACTGTCACATTTCCACCATTTTCTGATGAATTGATCTCGTATATCAACAAACACGTAAGTGAGATATCATACATTTCTAGTAGATTTGTAACCCAGTGATGATTCAGTTCGATTTTCATGTATGTCCACTTGTTTCACGGTCTTTGACATTGTGTACTGAGTGAATTTAGACCATTCGTTAACATATTATCAAACAGTGACCTGTCCTCCTATGAGTCTATTGAATGCCAGAATCGAAACTACTGCAACTGGAAATCCTACTTCTAATAATCGAACAAGTTTGATTGAATAAGGCTGTTATCTGCTGGTTTAGAAAGTCACTGATCAATTATGCTTTCTCGTGCTTCGAGATAAACATAATGTCTTTCATTGGACACTAGTAACTAGTAGTGTGATATGTCTAGTCGTTTACTTATTTTTGGTCCAGACTGAATTCTATCAGTCAGTCAGGTTTGCAATTTGACCACCATTCTACGTGGCTCATCATCACGGTGCACACTGATTTGGTGATAACAGACGGTTGGAGGCAATCAGCCACAGGAATGTTTGGACCTAGATTTCGTGCTAATTGGCACTGAGTGACGCGGTTTTGAATCTCAGAAGGAACATGAGTTCCTTCGAGGTGACTGCAGACATGCCCTGCTGACCGACTTGTGAGTTCCAACTAGCACGAAACCTAGATCCAAGTTTTTCTTCAACCATCTAAAACATAATATCTGTTAGAAAACTGTGGATCATATCTCAAAATACAAGTGTTAATTCGACCAATATAACGACGACTTTTCACTTGAACGTTTATGCATTTATTAATTCAAAAATAATTCAGAATACTCTCATGCGTGTATGTGTGTCATTTATCCTGTTTTATAATTTAGCCAAATGCTGGATGGAAGGCTGAGAGGACAAATCGATTCGATACAATTGATACTGCTCGTTCAATGATGGGCGTCATCTTTGAAGATGTCGATGTGAAACAAAGATCACGTCCAACAATCAGTCACAGTGAAGTTAATATAGATTTACCGAAATTCTTTGATTCTCGTAAACACTGGAAGAAATGTGAGAGTATAAGGACGATTCGCGACCAATCAGGCTGTGGTTCATGTTGGGTAATGTGTATATATTTGTTTGAATTTTATGCTAATCATTATGGAGTATCTTGGGTGAAGTAGACTTGTTCATGGCTGGTGAATACTTTTGAATATTGTTTTCCTGAATGCATCTTTTAATTTATTTGATGTAAATTTATTTTTTTCGCTGCCGAATCAGGAGAAAAGCTGATAGACCTAAAGAAAATCACAAATATTTATGTTTCTTTTGAGAAATGTATCTAAGTTCATAAATTCTCAATATGTTTTATTGGGGAGAACACTAAAGACTGAAACAATGATTATTTTTGATCACTCATGGGTGCTTATTAGGTTGAGAAGTTTTTATATTCATATATTTTCCTATTTTAGGACTGTTCACTAGTGTCTTATTCGATATCTAGCACCAAACTGTCAGTTCTTTAGGTGAGACGTCCGATATATCACTACCAATTCACAAATATGTAGTCTGAATTTTAAATTTTCTCTCGGTTCACGGTGTAATCTTGAAGTAACAGAGAACAAATCTCAAATTTGATATTGCTTTGTTTATCAGATGTATCACACAGTGATACAGTATTATTATTTACTGGATGACGTTGCGAACACAATCTATTATTGTTCATAATCATATCATCAATTATAAACACACAACTTCGAAACTTGACTTTTGTAGTTCTCTTTGTTCTCTCCTATTTGTCGTCTTTGGGGTAGTAGAATTTTCCAGATATCCGACTGGACAGGTGTTGAATCATTCCTATTCTATGTGTTTGCAGTTGATTCGATAAACAAAGCTTATGTTACCAAACTCTCCCTCCACCCTGTGAAATTAGATTTAAAATATATCATCCTGTTGTATGGTTGTATGTAACTGCATGTAGTGAGTGGTATAGATGAACTATTCGCTAAATTTCTTATCTTATTCTGGTCAACTAATCTAGTTTTCGCTGATAGGTTTTTATTCTCGGCTAGTCCGATTGCCGACTTTCCACTAGTTTGACCTATGTATCTAGCCTGACAATCATTGCCGGCGGGGTATTAGATAAACTAAATTGTTTTGTTTAATGCGCTGCGCCGCAGGATCCTTTATCCGACAAAGCTTGTTTCTAATTGAGTTTGTGGGTGGTTTGAATGTCAGACACCTTTATTCCTGTCTTGTTAAGAATTCTACTTAAGGTTTCTGAGGTTCCTTCTTTGTATGGAATTACTAATGATGATTTAGATTCCTTATTGTTGGTGTTGTCATTATCTTGTGCATGTTTGACATGCATGTCGTCATTAATATTACTACTATAATCAATATTATCATCATAATCTTCATTATTATTATTATCACTATCACTACTATCATTATTTATTTTCTTTTTACATTTCCCTACATATTTCCTGACTATCTTATCAGGGCAGTTATTAAGTTTCAAAGTTTCTCTTATATGCCTCACTTCCTTTCTTTGATTTTTCTTGGTACTACTACTCTGTCACTTAAACATTTCACCAATCCTATTTATACTGACATAGGATGGGATGATTGGAAGTCCAAATATTTGTTTGGATGTGTGGGTTTCCTGTGAACACTAGTGTTTAACTTCCCATCTTCTTTCCTTTTTGCGCTGCAGTCTAACATTGAAAACTCCCTGAGTTCCTGACTTTCCAATTCATAAGTGAGTTGAATTGCTTCCACCTTTGAGTTAATGTGTTCGAAAAATCCGTCTATATCCTGTGTTCTAAGTACAGTGAATGTGTCATCTACATACTTCCAGCATACTTTTCGGGTGCGGCTGAACGTTTCAATCGCTGTCTTTTCCCACCTATACATGAATATATCTGCCGCAATCAGAGATATTGGTGACCCCATGGCAACTCACTCAGTTTGTTTGAATATTTTTCCCTGGAATCTAAATACTGTGGGAGTCAAGTATACCTGCACTCCTAGCATGATGTCCTCAAGTGGTACTTTCGTTCTTAGTGCGAGTTCTTCGTTTGAAACTAACTCGTTTCTGACATTCTCTATAGCCATATTTATTGGTATACGTGCATACAAACTGACAATGTCAAAACTGACCATTTTCTCTTCATTATCTAATTCTAAATTATCTAATCTATGTTTTAGTTCATAAGAATTTGTTAGTCTAGATTTTGAGTGGCTTTTAAGGGCATTTAATATCATGGCTAAATACTTAGATAATTCATAATTGGGCGAATTCCTAAAATCAACCATAGGTTTAATAGGATATCCTGACTTATGAACATTATCAACACCATACATCCTACTGGGGTTATTAGTTTTGGTCATTAAATAAAACCATTTAGACTCACCTAGAAACAGCTTCATTCAACGTATGAGGTCCGTTGTGGATTTCTCAACCTTATTCTTAACGGTGTTTGGTTATCGAATCAACTGGAAAAACATATAATAGGAATGATTCAATACCTGTCCAGTCGGATATCTGGAAAATTCTACTACCCCAAAGACGACAAATAGGAGAGAACAAAGAGAACTACAAAAGTCAAGTTTCGAAGTTGTGTGTTTATAATTGATGATATGATTATGAACAATAATAGATTGTGTTCGCAACGTCATCCAGTGAACAATAATAGTGTTTCACTGTGTGATACATCTCATAAACAAGCCAATATGGAATTACTTACTATCACAGTGCCCAAGTTTTAGACATATATTAACTCTCAAATTTCTCTTGGGTTTCTCAATTTGTTATTTATTCTTCATCGAATTTACTTCGGTGTCAATCTACTTTATACAACTAGAAAGTTCGGAGTGATATTGAAGTCATTATGGAGGGTTACGTGTCACTCGGATTGTATATTCATTGATAACTGTGATTATATAACCATTTGTTTCCTTAAAAGCCACTATTTAACCTACTCATTTACGCATGGAGTATATTTATAATACAAACCAACCTTATGCATGTTGCTATTATTATTAATATTATTATTATTGTGTAGGCTTTCGGTGCTGTCGAAGCAATGAGTGATCGCATTTGCATTCATTCTCACAATCATATATCAGTGGAGCTGAGTGCTGTTAATTTACTGAGTTGTTGTACAAGATGTGGCTTAGGTTGTCAAGGTGGCATACCAGGAATGGCATGGGATTACTGGAAAGATGAGGGTATTGTAACGGGTGGATCAAATGAGTCAAATTCAGGATGTCAGCCATATCCATTTCCAGAATGTAGTCACCATTCAGCTAGAGGAAGACAACCACCATGTAGAGGTCAGTTATATGACACACCTGAATGTGAAAATTATTGTCAGAATGGATATGAAAGAGAGTATGAAAACGATAAATTCTACGGTGAGTAATATGAATAATGTATCACACAGTTTGTTTGATCGATACATCATCTGTTGACAAACTATAACTTCTTCTTCTTCATCAGGTTCTACATTTAGTTATATGTCCATTATAATGAATGATACAATGATTATTGTTCACAACATTAGTGGGTTTTTTCTTAGAAAGAGTAACACTGAATCATTTAGATCAGAATTTCAAAAGTTATTTGCAGTTAGATTGCTAACAGATTATATTCCCGATTATATGTATGTGGTAATATGTAAAATGTGCGTCGGTGACACAGCGGTTAGGGCGCTCACCGACGATGCACATGGTCCGGGTGTTCGAATCCCAGCCGACGCACTCCTTCACCTCGCTGAGCCAGAAATAAAGCTGGTAAAGAGGAAGAATGGTTGTGTATGGGGCTAGCAACCACATCCTGCAAAATTAAACACTGCTACGGGAACTTTAAGCTCCTAGCTTGAAGCCCGCTTTGTTCCACTGGGAACCTGAAGGAATAAATAATAATAATAATATGTAAAATCGTAGTACTAAATTGAACACCAATATTACAAAGTAAATGTGATAATGAGTAGTAAATTCTCATGAGTCATATTCATATTAAGTTTCCTTCGTATCGATTATAAACTTCAAATGGATCGAAAATTGCTGTCCAGCCAATTTCACCAGGAAACACATGACTGGGAAAGCTGAAAAAGAACTACTCACTATCCGTAAACAAAAAGCCTTCACACGTATGACTGTAATTCAAGGGCGATATACCAAGCGAAATAATTACGAAGAAATTAAGAAAATCAGTTCAAAGAACCGTTAATGCTGGCGAATTACAAAACTTATTTTCCACACGACCGGTGGTGATTCCTCGACTGAAAGATGAAGTACCTAGACTAGCTAGCCACTTCCAATTGTACCTACCAATTCAACTGCTGTTGTGGAGCGAGTTATATCAGCCGTTGCTCTAGGAACTTGAATTTTCGTGCTCGAGAACATCTCCCAGTATGGCTAAGTAAAGGTGTAGTGAGAACCATTGACAGTTCGATGGTAAACCATCTGGTCCAAACCGGCCACGAAGGCACCATTGAAGAATCCTTCTCTATCATCTACTGGGTACCAAATAAATTCCCAAAAACATAGATGTACCACATACTGCAAACATCAGAGGCTATCTCGATTCGCCTGAAACAACCAGTGCCTTGTGTGCGAAAGAAACAAGTCCAGCCCCTACTACTGCCCTGGCCGGCCTTCAGTAGAAACTAGAAATTCATGAATTTGTAATATTATCTTTCTTAATTTTTCTGACATTCAGCTTATTTTATGTTGATGCTACTGAACTGTAATCTGTTGATATTATTGATTCGACGTTATTTCAACAGCATTCATGTCGTTAATAATCCTAATTGTTTCACTTTTATTTATATATAAATGTAGAACCTGATGATGTTGTTATCGATAAGAGTATTCTTTGTTCAATAATCAATTTCTAAGATTCTCGAAGGAGTTCAGTGCTCAGTCAGAGAAGATGTGTAGTGACAGGCTTGTGCCTTCTTCCACAGTCAGTCAGTCAAACACGTTATGTCGTAAATTGGGAGAAGTTGGAATTCATGGGCTGGCCATTGGATCAGGTCCGAGCAGATTAACGCTCTACTAGTTATCTATTCTTGTAACCAGTATGTCATGTGTTCGAACCCTGTTGGTGGGTGCATACTGCTGTGGGAGAGTCCCAAACACTAGGATGAATCAGATGTCAGGTACTCCCTGATGGTTTTCCAGTGGTTCTCTAATCGATATCAGCTCATGATGAAATCTTCCAACCAATCAAACAAAAATCCATACAAATCAATACTTGATGAATGACTTTTTCTCTAAGTATTAGGCGTAGCTAATGATGTCAGTAAAAGTTATGTGTTCAGATTACTCTGCATATTGTGGGAATAACGCCTTCCGTAATCTGTTACATATCTTTTTCATATTTTCAGGTAAGTCATCTTACAACGTGGCCGGTGACGAAATTTCAATTATGAAGGAAATTTTTTTAAACGGTCCTGTTGAAGGTGCTCTATTTGTCTATGACGATTTTTTCAACTATAAATCTGGTGTCTACAAACATATAACTGGTTCCTATGTGGGTGGACATGCTATACGTGTACTCGGTTGGGGTGTTTACAAGGACATTCCATACTGGTTATGCGCCAATTCATGGAATGATGATTGGGGCGATAAAGGTTATTTCAAAATACTGAGAGGTCGAAATGAATGCGGAATTGAATCGAACATAGTGGCAGGATTACCAATGAAACGCAGAGAGTAAACTCTATGCACTTACCTATTCTGTAGCTCATATTTACACTAAGAGTGGTATCGTCAGTTATTGATTGACTCTTTTTTTCTCATTTTAGCAAGCATATTCTTGATATAAAGTTTTGTTGTTATCTGTCAATGGGATTTAATAAATGACTTTATCATTTACAAAGGATATCTGGATTCCTATGCTTGTTTTAATATGCATTTCTGAGATGATTAGAAGCCGGCGCTTAGACTGTTCAAGTTACAGTATAAACCGTTATCGGGTGTTTTTAGACAGGTTTTCGCATAAGTCAAACAAAACAATAAAGTTCATAGTAGACAGGAATTCCGGAATGCAAATAATTCTTCGATAACTATGACACTATCTCCCACCTATCACGAAAAATAGGTAACAACACTGATGTAACACTCTTTAAAATACACACTGCCTAATGGTGGTTACTAGAACTATCAAGAGATGAACAGAACTGGAAACACACTTAAGAATACACCAGGAGTGAATGATACAGGAGTTTGTGCTGATGATGAGGTATTTGAGACATTCTAACAGTCGAAAGTCACAATTTCACATGATAATGAGCATAGAACTCACTGAAATCACTACGACAGCATTCATAGAGACTTAGAAATCCAACAACCAAATTTAATCCTTTATTGAAACGCTGCAGTTAGAAATCTCACATGCTCGTTTAGTCCTTGAAAAGTAAGAATTCTATTATTTAGGGCGAATTATTAGAATTACGAAAGACACTTTAGTTCAGGGAAGTCAGGGAACAAAACTCATTAACACGTTAGGTATGATATAGGTGATAAATTTTGGCCTTGATGCAACTAAACAATTCTCTCTGCTCCCACTTTTAACCATTAACTAATCTCATTGCACATTGCACTATTTCGAACTAATCCAGGCTAATTTCAATCCGGATAACTAGATCAGTTTAAGTACTTTAGAAAAATAACCCATTTGGGTTTCTGCATGAAGTATATACGTTATGCTACTATGCCTAATAAAAGGCCACCTTTTCTTCTGTAATGATTAGCGTGAAAAAGATTAGGCATTATCAGATTACAATATGGACATAATCATCAATTACTTGTATCAAATCGATGCGTAATATAACAGATGTATTGATTCAGTCAGTCTATCCAATACTTGTATTCCTTATTATTGCATAACTCGTTGTCTACATTCCACGAACGCTAGACACAGAATTTTGTTAAATAATTTAATAATTCCCATTGTAGCATTAAGAACACAATATTCAGCAAAGAGACTCTTTTCAACAGAATTTATTATCAAGCTGTACAATCGTATATATATGGTTTTCTTTAAGAAATGATATCCAGTGAGGGAATTAGGTCAAAGGTGTGAATACATGAAATAATAATAGTGGTATGAAATGCCATTAAAATATTTGTGATTATAATCATAGTTTGATGTCAATTGGCAAAGTAATTAATGTCATATATAGAATAATACATAAGGTGTGTAGGTTTTGGAAAGGGGTACATAATTATAAGATTAGTAGACGAATATAAAATGTTACATAACATGGTGTGAAATTAGATGAGATAGAATTCAATATTGTAAAAATAAAAATATAAAAATTAATAATTTTGGGTTTAAAATGTCAAGTGGGTCAAGTGGAAAAGATTCAGAGTGAGAATATTAATAATAATAATAATAGCATTAATAATAATCGCAGTAATAAGGGAAGAGTAAACAGAATAATTAAATAAACAAAATAAATTAATGTCTATCCCTCTACTGCCATGGCAGGAGTAAGGATTGTACATACTTCTTTTGTACACAAAGGTCTGGCTTAAAGTCATGAATTGCCAAGGCCTCAACTGTCTTTAGAAGTTTGTAACGAAGAAAACGCGGGAAGTTAGCATGGATTCTATATATGATCTTAAAATCATGGTCAGGGTTGACAGAGTGACAGAAGTCGATAAGGTGTTCCAAAATAGAGCTTCGCACACACTTCCTTTCTCCCTTGTAAAACCATGCTACTGGAATATGTCCTTGTATCCGTGTGGAAAGCGTTCTCTGACTACGGCCAATGTACCTTGCTCCACAAGAGCAGGTGAACTGATAGATGCACATGGAGGCGGCCAGACGGGGAGCTTATCTTTTACAGAGGTAGAGAACAACTTGCGGCTAGTGAACGTCATATGTAATTTTGCTGCATAGAATGTCATACTGACTGATTTAGAGAGACGATTTTTGAGCATATCTGAAGCTTGATCACCTTTGATTTCCAACTTCATGAATAAGGTTTTCTTTGGAACTGTGTCGGTGACCAGTTTAGACTGCTTGTCTTTCATGTTGCTGTCAATAAATCGGTTAGAGTAACCGTTTTCTGAGAGCGTGGCTTTTAAGAAGTCAAGTTCCGAGTCAACGGAATCAGAACTACAAATTTTCCTTATCCTAGAGCAGGTTGAATGAATTAAGTTCATTTTCCTGGACATAGGCACCCAACTGTAAAAATTAGTTAGTTGTCCGTTCCATGTACGTTTCCTGTGGATAGATTTTTTGAGATATCCGTCATTACGTCTACTAAGGCACACATCAAGAAAGGGAATACTTAGTTCGGATTCCTTTTCTACGGTGAATTGTAAAGAAGGATGGTAGTTGTTGAAAGTAAACAAGACATCATCAAGAATTACATTTTTATCGCAGATAACGAAAGTGTCGTCTACGCATCTTTTATGAATGTGAAAATGCCCAATGGTTTGACTAAGTTGAGAATTTTCATTCCATATTAGTTTGTTTATTATGTATATCACACAGTGAAACAGTATTATTGTTTACTGGATGACGTTTCGAACAAAATTTATTGTTCATAATCATATCGCCAATTATAATCACACGACTTTGACACTTGGGTTTTATAGCTTTCTTTGTTTTCTCCTATTTGTCGTAGGGGGAGTAGAATTTTCCAGATATCGGGGACAGGTGATGAATCATTCCTATTACATGTATTTGCAGTTGATTCAATAAACAAAGCTTCTGTTAACAATCTCTCCCTATACCCTGTGATATTAGATTTTAAAACTGTCATCCTATCCCATCCTATTGTATGGTTGTGTGTGACTTCATGTAGTGCTATAGCTGAACTATTCTCTAGATTTCTTATTTTATTCGGGTCAACCAATCTAGATTTTGCTAAGTTTATATGTTCAGCTAGTCTGACTGCCCCTGTTCTACTAGTTTGACCTATGTATCTAACCTGACAATCATTGCAGGCGGGGTATTAGATAAACTAAATTGTTTTGTTTCAAAGGCTCCACAGGATCCTTTAATCGACAAAGCTTGTTTCTAATTGAGTTTGTGGGTTTGAATGCCGCTTTTATTCCTGCCTTTTTTAGAATTCTGTTATAGACCATCTCAATGTCTGTTTGTTGAGTTGTGACTGCATTCTCCTCAGGGAGTGTTGGAATCCATCACAATAGGAAATAATTACAGGTTTCAAAACTTCTTGTATGAGGTCAGGTTGTGACAGTCCGTCACCTACCTGTGGAGTGAATGTCTCCAACTCAACTTTAATCACTCTTATTGTTCTACATGATGTAGAGCATCACAATATATTCAGAGAAGCAATCATGATTCCCGAAATAATACAGATGTGCAACAAACACCTAACTGAATCGGTTGAGTATTTACATAGGGATACATTTTTCAAAGATCCTGACAAACAAATCAGTAGGAACCTCAAAATTTGTACTCTCAAATCAGTCCACACACACATCTATTTCCATTCAATTTTGTTCTTTTATCTAACAGTTATGATATCGTTCTTCTGAGTGAATAATTAATTCAACAAACCATTATACAAAAAAAAAAAACAATATTGCTATTTGAATGTTCAAAGTACCTCATTTCAACTTGAATTTACTTCAGTGTGAATAAAACTCTTCGACTCGAACTTCGCCTACACAGATAAAATAGTTTTGATGTTTACTGAGAAGACTATATTTTGTGTACTTTGAACAAAACAATATATACAGAATCAAACAGAATTATCTCACTCAAGTGTTTCGATAACAGGAGTGATAAGATGAAGTAAAAAATAAACACACAAAATCACCATATTACGATTCAAAGGTCATCATCAGTTAGGTTTTTTATAAAAGAATTAGATATGAAGACGTTTGTATAGTTTGACCATCACCTCATCACCCAGTGAAGAATGCTGAATACAGTGTTGTGTATCGTCTCCTTGATGAGCATCCTCACTGCTCATATACTCACCAACAAGGAGGTACAATTCGAGCCCCTATCAGATGAAATGATTGCGTATATCAATCAGCATGTGAGTTACACTTTCAATAAAATATTTCCTGTCTGCCATACTGCTTACCATACTACTTATGTGATACACACTCATTCATTCTCGCTATCGAATATCTACGAATGTGATGAAATGATGGAATGTGTTCGATGCAGCAATGTCTAGTGACAAGCAGCGAAACACACCTCACCAATCAATCAATACTGTTCCCTCAGGTGAAGAATAAATTCTGTTAGACGGTTATCTGAAGTCAATTCGTGATTTCATTATTCCATGTAGAACGATAGTCTACTTTACTTGACCACTCGTATATGTCTCATGCAAGTGTCAATTTTGTCTGCAATGCAGAAACTAATCCATCCTCACTGAAATCGTTCGTGAACAAGAAATTTGTTGAAGTCAGCCTGTATATTTCGCACCACTACACGTTTAATTCGCCTCAGTCTTCAAGTGCAGTGTTCCAATTTGTTATGGGATTTTGTGTGAAACTTCGGTTGAACACTGGATGGCAAGTAGCTATTGTCACGTGTCTAGTCCTTTGTTTGGTGACGACTGAATTCTATCAGTAAAGTTTGCAATGTGGCTGACTTCACGCTGCACTCCGAATTGTTGTTGTTAGATGGTTGGAGGCAGTCAGCAGGAAGCGTTGCAACCAGATTCCTTGAACACTTGACTGAGAGAATTCAGTCGGCACCGAACAAAATACCAGACTCTTAAAATTATAAAAACTAATATTTGTTGTCGTTAAAATAAAGGCCAGTTTTTATTGAAAAGAATATTCTTCGTTCAAATTGACTTTTAATTCATAATATGGGAATTTTCCACACTATCAAAATACCAGACGCATGACACTAGCTACTCACCATCTAGTGTCCAATAGAAGTATCTAATACAATCCCGTAGGAAGTCAATCGTCAGTCCGAACAGCTCAGTGGAAACGTCTCTGACTGCAGCAGTAGTTGACACA